TGTGTGTGTACCGTCAAATTGGATCTGACAGGTACAGGAGATTGTCCCTCCTTCTCCAGTAGAACATCTGGCGGATTTGAACTGCGCAGCTCTGGGATTGCAGCGCAGCTTCTTGCCACTAGGCCACCAGAGCTTGCCTGAGTAAGATAGGAATCTTATAAAACAATTCTCTAAGTAAGTTTTAGAATCAACATACAATCAAAATAATAAATCATCAATTCTCCTTTTAGAGGATCAATGAAAGTGAAAACACAAAACAAGGACTCTGAAAAAGGAAACCAGAAGCTTCTACCACACTTAAACTCTACTTACATTAACCTGCCATTAGGGTACAAATCTAGGTGTTTCCCAAGCCTCTTGTTCAGTTTTAGTGTATTGTGAAACATTACCTCAGTGTTAGTATAGTAAGTGTTCCAGGAAGAACGAAGAGATTCTTGGCCACCAATATCCCACATTAGGAAACGTGTATTATTAACTACTATCTCTTCTACATTACTTCCAATTGTAGGGGATGTATGTACAACTTCATTCATAGAACTGGAAAAGGTAAAAAGTTCACATATATTATTATTATTATTAGAAAGGAGGCTAACTTAGATGAACAAATTTTCAATCAAGGGACATATCAGCATTACTTCCTTTCAGATTTTGTACCCAAATATCCTTTCCCACCAACTCAACAAGAGAATTTTGCCTACAACTTAAAAACATGCTCAACATTGTATAAATGTCTAGCTCTCTGAAACAGTTGCTTAAATTTGGTTTCTGATTTACAGCCAGCTGTCTTACAGAGGAGCTTAAGGCTCTGTATACTCTTTTACTGTCTTTCTTATCAAAGAATTTTCCATATAGAAAACATAAACAGAAACAAAGTAACTTTCAAAAATTAATCAATACTTACAATTGGTAAAGGATGGTAGTTTTCCCTGCATTATCCAGCCCAACAATGATAACTTTGTGCTCTGAAAAAACGGGGTGGGGAGGAGGTGACTTATTATAGATAAAAATTAAAGATTCGTTATTTTGTCTATGGTACAATTGTGTGTATAGCACTTAATACATTCTTAAAATTCCAAACAGCATCTTAGCAAGGCTAGCAAACTTGTGGCATTTGTCTCACCAAGTCCTCCACTTCAATTGTACACAGAAAACTCACCCTTCCAATCCTCTAAGAACCCAAAGGCACTCTTGCCCTCTTGGAAGATTCTACTCAGTGAAACAGGTCAACCATAATCACAACAACTTATAAATGATGTTAAGCGTCAATGCTTAATGATATACTAAACCTTTCATTTTAATTATTTACACACAGAGGGAGGGAGGGGGAGAGTGAGAGTGTGTGTATGTGTATTGTGACTGGAAAAGAAAAACAAAGGTCAGGTCTAGTATAGGAGTTCCCAGGGGCCTATGTATAGTAGCAGTGACTGCTCCTTTCTGTGGCATACTTTCTCATTTTTTTTCCTCTGTCATTTTGATATTATTCTCCACCAACCTAGACCAAACTGACTCCTCTTTCTTGAAACATTCACCCTGTTTACTTGTCAGCAATCCATTCATTTCCACACTATTATCCATTTCCAAAGACAGAGAAGTTGTGTGGTAAAGAATGTCCTCCAAAGACAGACTCTGGGTATCAATACCCTTGTGTGGTCCCTTTAATCTGAGCAAGCTCTTTAACTTTATTTTAATAAGATAGTAGACATGGTGATCTATGACTTTGAGGCAAAAAGTTATCTCATCAAACCACCTGCAGCTGCTCACTGGCTCCCTTGGAATACTGGCCTTAGGGAAGCCATCCACCAGTGAGTTCAACTACCCTAAAAATGCCATCTATGCAGAGTGAGGAAGCACAGAGGCGAACTGTGTGGAGAGGGCTCACAGAGAGATGTATCCTTGGCCGCTACCTGTCAGCCATTCTAGCTGCAAAATCGGACCCAAGGAGAAAAAGTCATCTTGGATACACGGCCTAGTGGAACCTTTAAGGCATTTTAGTCTTTTTTTTGTCACTGACCACAACCAAAGTCCCTAAGCTACAACTTCCTGCTAAAGTCAGCCAACTCAGAATGAGAGACAAATTTTAAGTTACAAAATTCATGTTTGTTATAGAATCTTATATAGTGCTCATCTAACAGATATTAAAAAAACGAATGGGGTTAACAAAGAGAAATCTATTCTCTTATAGTTTAGGTGGCTGTTGTTAGGTGCTCTCAAGTCAACTTTGACTCACAGTGACCCTACGAGCAAGAGATCTGAACCTTACCCTCTTTCTGTGCCATACTCATGACTGCTAATGTACCTGAACACATTGTTTGGGTTATTCTGTCGATCATCTTGTTGAGAGCTGCCTTTTCTTTCTCTGATCTTTTTACCAGCATGATGTCTTTTACCAAGGACTGACCCCTCCTGACACAATGCCCAAAGAATGTGAGACAATTTCACCATTCTTGTCTCTAAGGAGCATTCTGGTTGTACTTCCTCTGAGGCAGACTTGCTCTTTTCTCAATCCATGAGATCTTCACTACTCTTCTCCAATACCATAATTCAAAGGCACTGATTCTTCTCCAGTCTTCCTAATCCACTGCCCAACATTCAGATGCATAGAAAACAACTGAAAAGACCATGGCTTAGATGAGACACACACTGGTCTTTAAAATGACATTCTTGCTCTTTAGAACTTTAGAGAGGTCCTTGACAGCAGTAGATTTTCTTAATGCAACAAGTCGTTTGTTTTCTTTACAGCTGCTATCATGGGAACTGCAGCATATGGATCCAAGAAAAAGGAAATCAATGACAAACTTCAATCTTTTCTTCATTTATCATGATGGCAGGGAGCTCTGATGGCCTAGTGATAAGAAACTGCACTTCAATCACAAAGACACATAGTTTGAATTCATCAGCTGCTCTGCAGAAGAAGGGTAAGTAATCTCCTCTGACGTGATTAACTGCCTCTAAAAACCTACTGGAGAGTCAGCTAGGGGTTGGTTCTGACTCGATGGCATTCAACAACATTATGATGTTGTCTACCGATCCAGTAGTGAGGATTTTTATTTTCTTGATGTTGAAATGTAACCCACATTGAAGACTGTACTCTTTCATCTTCTACAGCAAGTTTCTCAAGCCCTCCTGGCTTTCAGCAAACATAGTTGCATCATCTGCATAATGCACATTGAAGACTTGTCCTCCAATCCTATTGCCACACTCTTCTCACAGCCCAGCTTCTCAAATTACCTGCTCAGCACATAGATTAAGTAGAGATGGGGAAAAGATGCAACCCTGACACACGTCTTCCCTGATTGTAAACCATGTAGTGTTCAGACAATTGCTTCTTGTCCTATGGTTAAGTTTTTCTTGAGCACAATTACAAGTTCTGAGATTCCCATTCTTCTCAAATGCTACCTACCCATAATTTGAGGTAGACAAATCTGCTGTCAGTGATCTCTTTAAAGTGCTCAAGAAAAAGGACGTCACTTTGATGACTAAGGTGGGTCTTACTGAGGCCATGCTATTTTCAATTGCCTCACAGAGTGTTCTGGTGGTCTAGTGGTGATAAGGAGATGGGCTGCCAATCCAAAGACAGGCAACTAAAATCCACCAGCTGCTCCAAGGTAGAAAGATGAGCAATCTCCTCTTGTGCGATTTACAGCCTCTGCAAACCCCCTGGAGGATCAGCTAGGAGTCAATTCTAACTCAATAAGAACAAGGAAGAACTGGTGTGTTCGAACTGTGGTGTTCACAAAGAGTACTAAATATGTCATGATTTAAAAAAAAAAAAAAAACCCAAACAAATCTGTTTTGGAAGAGGTGCAGCCATGATTCTCCTTGGCTGCAAGAAACTTCATCTCACTTACTTTGGGCACGCTTTCAGACGGGACCAGCCTGATATTTATTATGCTTCGAAATGCAAAATGATAGCAAAGGAGAGAAGATTCTCAATGAGCTAGACCAACACAGTGGCTGCAGCAATGCAGCACAATGGATATTGTGAGACTGGTGTAGGACCAGGCAAAGTATGGAGCTCTGCTGTGAATAAGAGTTAATGTGATGGCATCTAACACCACAAATAAGTGTAAAATTCTAAGAATGACAAATATAAGGAATATCCACAACCTCTAGGACTGTGATAGGACACCCAAGGCAGAGCACGTTCCAGACCTCCTCAGAGGGCATGGCCTTGGCTCAATAATGAATGGCAGAGAAGTTGCTGTATTGGAGGCCAGCTGAACATCTCCCTCTAGAGTACTAGAGAAAGTTGTTTAATGGGACTGTTTTAATGGAGACTCTCCCATACAAAATCACATGAGGTGGACGGAGAAAGCTATACTACTGGCTGCTGCTGACTCCTACACAGCTCCAGGCACTAGAGAAGTTTCTTAGACACAGGGGTAGGGCAAACCCCAGTGAGGGAGCACATGGTAAGCAAGAAAAACCCTTTTATCCTTGCAATGGCTCTATTCAGTGTTATCCACTATGTCAATAACGCTTAACATTGTGTCAAGAAGTAAAAAAAAAAAAAACAAAAAACCCACAAAAAACCACCAACCCCAAAACCCAAAGGGCTCTATCTCCATTTTAATAGACCAGGAAATATGATTAATTTGACAGCTAGCCAATGAACTGATAGCTGATACAGCCTGCACCTTGGCTACTCAGCTTCCCTACACAGTGTTCTACACATCTTTGAATTCTCACGCAATTAAAACAAACAAAAAAAACCAGACAGTGTTAGCCAACCCCCCAGTACCAGATTCCTGAGACATGGGTGGCTTTTCTAGCAGTCATTCATTTGTAACTTAGAGTTTCTTTCCTAAGAGCTAATGAGGTAAGTGATATAAAGCACCAATCTAAAGAACAAACATAAACTTATCAACTGGGAAACTCCACAGCTTGTTCAGGTTAGTATTAGGAATTTTCATTTTATCTAACATGAATCATTCTTATGTAAAAAAAGTGTTTTTAAGAGTATTGGCTGACACCAGATAATCTTAGCTGGAACTACAGGTCTACCATTTTTAAACCTAAAACCTTAGGCAAGTTAACTAGTATTTTGTTGTCCTTGCTAAACAGGGGAAACAATATCCACCTCATTAGGTTATTGTGAAATTATTAAGAGAAGATTAAAGGGATCTGTGTAAAACATTTAGAATCTAACCTTGCATAAGTCAAGAAATGTAAGCTACTATTATTTTATCTGTAAAGATGGAATTAGTTATTTTGTCACCCTATAACAACAGAAAAAGTTCCGTAAAGCTAAAGAACTTTATTACTTGCCTTATCCCCACTTGGAAAATTTCCTACACAAAGCAGGTATTTAAAAAAAAAACACCCCAATAATCACTTAAACAGTGTACTGACAATAAGTAAGTCTTTCTTTACTAAAATGTATTTAATAGCTACTATTCAAACCCCTAAGGAGACCTGGTGACACAAAAGATAAGAACTTCACTGCTAACTAAGAAGTTGGTGGTCTGAACCCATTCAGCAGTTCTGAAAGATCTAGAAACTTGTTCCTAAAAAATGTACAAGCCTAGAACACCTAGTGGAGCAATTCTTTATCAAGTAGTTTGCTGAGCTGAAATTTACAGTACCTAATAAAAATTCAAATTTTTAAAATGTTAAGGATTTATTATTTAATGACTGAGGATCAGTTAACAAGGCTAGGGAGTTAAAAAAAACCAACACACAAACAAAAAAAACCCCACAAAACCCTGACTAAGAAAAAAAGTGGTATCAATTCTTTCTTTTAAAAGACCAACACTCAGCAGCACATTCCTCAAATGTTTCAACTTGTCTGGCTCTGCATATACATACAGTTGGACCTGGAAAACCACTCACTCCATTTGGGCCTCTTTTTTTTTATCAAGGGCTAAGAACATTACATCAAAGGATTTTTGACACAAGGAAAAAAATATGTATACATATGACAATAACTAGGACAAAGTTTATATTCTATTCAATCTAAATATCCCCTAGTGCAATCTCTGGTTTTTCTTGTTTGAGCAGTGCCCCAGTGGCTTCCACTGTACACTTTATCTAACTTTCAGCAGGGCAAATTACGCAATACCCTAAAACCTACTTCTAAAGAGTTTCAGTGAAAAAGAATATAGATTGTCCAGTTCCTTCTGAAGGTATAATAAAAGCATTCATATCTAATTTAACACAGAACCAACTAGACAAATAAGCACCTAACATTAACGTTAATAAATATTTTGAAAATTGCCGCTAAGACAATCACATCACTTACATCTTTATAATAGTGATATCCAACCTGACTTCATGAACTCTTCCTTTCAGTTAAGCATTTCCCAGCACTGAAGTAAATGACTTATCAAATATATCACAAAATACAAGTACCAGCAACACTAAGTGTTCACTACTAGTGAATGTGAACAGTGACAATGCACATAAAATGATTTACTATTGGTAAACAGCTGTGGGCAAAGTTCTAATTCATTCTTAACTTAGGGTAACAATTTTATCAATGATTCAAAATAGAAAATGAAGAGACTTACTTTTCTGGTGATCCTAAAGCTTAACTAATGACGTTTCTTTTCAAACTCACTAGAAATACTTAAGCAAGGTGATTAACATTAGCTTTGCTAGAACTGACACAAAATTATGGATGTCAAAATTACAGTCTACTTTATAAGCACGACCAGCCTGACAGAGGTTAAGTTCTTAAATTCAGTTTACAGACATCTGTGATCTAGTGACTGAGTTTTCAAGCTTTGGGGGCTCCACAATCACACAGGCTTAGAACAAACAGCTGGCTCTGGGGAAGTTAAGTGTGTGCTTCCCATGCACTGTCAACACTGACAACCTGCTAGAGTGGATTAGAACTTGAGTTCTCCACTTTACGAAGAATCTCAGTTAAAGAAAAATTATTTAAAATACTTCTTTCCATTTAGTGCCATGTCATCAACAGTACCGTTTCTTTTTTAATTTCTTAAAAGGCACACAGGGATTACAAGATCAGTTCTATTTCCTCCCTGCTGCCAACCCAGGTAAAGTGGTTCAAATTCACGAGCTGCTCCATTGGAGAAAGATGGGCAATCACCTCCCTTGGATTTCTAGTTTCTGAAAACTCACTGGAGGGTGAGTTACAGGTGTACAGCAATGATGTGACTCTAATCAAAAGCTGAATCATAAAGGAGGTGGGGGCAGTAGGTGTATGCAACAGAAGCCACCATTCATAAGTGGAAAACTTTGGGTTGTGACACCAGCTTGCACAAGACAAAAACACAAACGAAGTTACTGACAGCAGGAATGATGAATCACCTAATCTGCGTTCAAAATAAACAAAGGCACACCACCACTATATTGTAACTTAATAACTAAGAAATATTATTTAACTTGTACCCTTTTTGCCATTTAACCCCGGATTCTCAGCATGTTTCAATAAAGAACTTGCACTTCGAGGCCATGCTTAATTAGGACGAACCTAAGCATCTGTATATCATACAATCTAGCCTTGATAACTTTCTAGTTATCTAGTTAGCCAATGTTCCACCTGGTTTGGTTTTTAATGAAACACCTGATCATTCCAGATTAAAAAATGTCAATAAACTACACGAGAAAAATGTCCTGATCTCACTTAAACTCCAACAAATTTACTAAGGAAAAAGAAGAGAAGACCATCCCTAATCAGGATGTAGAAGAGCTCTCCCTAGAAAGAGAGCTGGGGTGGAGAGCAGGGCCCTCTGAGCGCATCGGACAAGTCAAGGGCCATTCCTCACGTTTTCCGCATTATGCGGCCTTGGTGGCTCAGCGTTGCGGCTAGGGTACAACCTTCTTCGCTGATCAGTCCAGCTTTTTGGCGTAGCTCAAACACAGTTACCGGAGGAAAAGGCTCGGCTATACGACAGGAGGGGCTGTGCCGCCTCGCGACTTGGTGGAGCAAGAAACCTTTCCTACTCGCAATCGAAATCGGAGCAATGGGTGTATCTGCAGAATGGGTTTCCTATCGAGGCCCCGTAAGACAAAAGGACCCAGGCCCAAGCCGAGGAGCGCTGGGCGAAGGGCCCCCGCCACCGCGGCCGCAGCGTTGAGGGACGCCCGACCACGCCGCCCACGCTCCGGAAGCAGTCGGAGACACCCTCCACCCCCACCCGCCCCCCGACCCGGCCGGGACTGACCCTCTCCCCTATCCGTACGCCCTTGGCCAGAGCCCCTCACCCTGGTGATTGAACAGTCTCCATATCCTGGTGAAGAGAATTCCCATTCTCGGGCAGCGGAACCCCCTCCAGCCACCCGGGCCTCCTGTCCGCTCCAGGCTCAGGCTGAGGCGGAGGAGAAAGACGCGCCAGAGCCTCCGCCTCTGCTGCTGCTGCTCCCGCGCTTGCCGCCAGCCTGCTTCCCGGGAACTGGAGGGAGGCCGCAGCTCAGGCCGCCCTGCCGCGCGCGAGGCCCCACCGCTGCCTTCCCGGCACTCGCCTGGCTCGCGGACATCGCCGCCGCGTTGTCTGCGACGAGCCTCGCGGGCCACCGTCCTCCCCAAGCTCCTTTTGGGCGGCTGCGGCGGCAGCAACCGCACGGGCGGGGCACGGCGTGGTGCAGGGCGCAGGCGCGCCGCGGGTGGGCGGGGCCTCACTTATTTGCATAACGAGGTGACCTGAGGACTGTGGTGAGCTTGGTTTCCACTTAACGCGGCCTGCGGTTGGAGAAGTGGCTCCTGATGGATGGCTTACTGTAGCGTCCTCGCTGAATTTGTATGTTTTTTTACGAAGGGTTCCCCCTTCTACATTTCCGCCATAGAGCCGAAATGTAAATAAACATGTCCGGAATGTCCAGCGCCTTTTCACGTACCCAAACCAAACCAGCTCTAAGCAATCCTGAAGGGCGAAGCAGAACTGTCCCTTAAGGTGTCCAAGCTTTGATTTTTAGGGAAGTAGACTGCCGCATTTTTTCTACCACAGATTGGCTGGTGGCGCGTTTATGGTTAATATTTTTGTTCCTTCATTTTTCATGTCATTCCTGTCTAAATGGTTTCATCATTTCGCCCCATGTTTAACCACTGAAGCTGTTTTATCAAGCGACTCCAAATAGTTTAGACTCATTGTCCTCCACAGCATCACCCCAATTTGTCCTTTGTAATTATATCTCCTAGATATAATAGATAAATCTTGTAGATAAGATCTTCAAGAGTTGCGTTCTCATTATGCAAGTGGTCCGATGTTCTTTGCTCTTCCACGCCCTTGTCTGTACAACTTGAATAAATATATAATCTTGTCTTTATACCATATAATCTGGTGGCTTAGTCCATAGAGAATTAGGCTGCTAGACCAAAGGTTGCATTTCTTTGGTGGTTTAAATCTACCAGCAGCCTCCTTCTCCCATGCAATTTACATTCTGGAAACTCAATGGAAGGGCCGCTATGAGTCAGTTCAGGACTTGAAGCAATGAATTGATAGATGCTATTGAAATGTCACACTATTTTATAGAATATCTGGCTGAAAACTGCAGTATGCTTGAGTCATTAGATAACCCGATACTAGTGGTTTTGTTCCTTGTGTTGTTACATACAAACTATATCGTTTTTAATTGGCACTTACGTACAAGCAAAAGATTGATTTCTGAAACTGTTTTTCTTTATTCTAGGTTATCTGATAATTAGTCCAGAACTCTTGTTGGGAAGAACCTCAAGTTTACTACTTTCACAAAAAAACCAAAAACATGGTTGATCTTTTTCTCCTTAACTTCAGAAGAGGGGGAAAAAAAGAAAATTGTGAAAGGCATTTGAAATGCTTGGTGCATGCCTCAAGAGCAGAATGAAGTTAAAATTTTCTACTTCACTTTTATCTATGCACAATTTTATCTTAACATACACAAAATTACTTGTTTCTAAGCTTATGGCTATAACTCATTTACTCATTGCTGTCCAGTTAGAGGACTCAGAGCACATCTCCCCCTGGGTTCTCTGAGGCTGTAAATAGCACAGGAGTTTGCCCATTTTTCTTCCTTGGAAAAGTTGGTGGATATGAACTGCCAGGGAGGTATGGGATTTTGGTTTAGGAACTCCCTACAGACTAGGCCACCAGAGCTCCCCTATACCTTAAAAGCAAAGGTTTAAAGGAAATTTATATAGAAAGGAAAGGAAAAGAAAATTATGACCTTGAAACAACTCTATGTTTACATGATAAAGTGCTCTGCTGGCTGTCAGGAATAATACTGTATGTGACGGAAAGGTAGAGGGCCAGCAAAGGAGGAATCCTCAATGACATGGATTAACACACTAACAGCGGGCTCAAGTATGTCAGCTGGTTCAGAAGGGAACAAGGTACACTGTTCATAAGGTCACTGTGAGTCATAGTCGATTCGAGGGTACTTAACAACCATAACTAAGTCCTAGAGGAAGCTCTGGTAGTATAGGCCTACAGTTGTGCTGCAAACCTAAAGCATTCCCTCTCTGGTGGTTTGAATCTATCATCTGGTCAGCACTCTTTTCCAAAACCACTGCTCATATACATCAATTCTATCATCTTTATTCATGGTTCCAACTTTCATCTGCATAGCAAATAACTGAAAAAATGATGGTCAGGTGTACCTTAGTCTTCACATTGACATAATTGCTTTTCAGCACTAGAGTTCCCTGGCAGCCGACTTTCCCAATGCAATATATCTTGTGGTTTCCTGACTGCTGGTGTCAAGGGGGTTGATTGTGGATCCAATTAGGATGAAATTGTTGAATTTGCCTTTTCTCCATTTATTTTGGTGGTGTCTGTTCGCCCATTGTTGGAGCTTTTTGTTTTCTTGATGTTGAGATGTAATTCATACTGAAGGCTGTAGTTGTTGATCCTCTGCAGCATGTGTTTCAAGACCTCACTTTCTGCAAGCAAGGTGGTGGTATCTGTGTCAGGTTGCCGATGAGTCATCTTCTGATACTAATGCCATAGACCTAAACAGCATAAGAAAAAATCTTACTCTAGTCATATTTTGCAGAACATCAAACTGTTCCACAATTGTGTCAAAACTTTAAGTCCAACATTCTTTAAAGAATACAAGATTAATTAATGAACAGTATCTTGCATCCAGTAAGAAATTGTTTTCTTATCGCTATGTGCTGTTAAGAACCAACTCACAGCTGACCCTCCAGTGTGTTTTCAGAGGCTATAAATTGCATGGGAAGAGATTGCCTGCTTTTCTCTCATGCTGGTAGCATCATGTACTTTTAGGTTGTCAGCACAACTTTTTACTGTTAACTCACGTAAGTTATTACTGGACAAGCCCTACTCCTAGAAATATAAAAAAATGGAGGGTTGCTGAAGAAGAGCAAGACCCTAAATGATATGGATTGATGCAGTGACTGCAGTAATAGGTTTGAAGACAGCAGAGATTTCTGAGGCTGGCAAAGGATTGGACAGGGTGCCATTCTGTTGTACACCGAGTGTCCAGTAGTCAACACCAACACAACAGTACTTAACAACAAACCAGAAGGAAAATTGTTACAGAAGTAGAGCCAAGCACAGGGAGACTGACTGGTCAAAGCTTGGTAAGCACTATATCTAGCTTTGAATGCAGACATTCAGATGCCTTAATCCATAGTCTAACCAGTATGGCAATCTGTATGTTGTAGGAAAGAACAAACATGATGTTTTCCTCCATAATCCATTTTATTAGTGAAAATCTGCTGATGACAGTAGAGGTGGTTTGAGGCAGATAGCCAGTTTGATGTGGTGAAAGAAGTGAGTTCTTCCAGTTGGGAGTTTCAGACTGTTGACTGAAATATGTTGACAGATGGGACAGCCTTGTATAGTACCACTCCAATAACTGATACTCATTCTGTCTGCATTTATAGTATATTTCAGGTATCACTGTGTATGCTTCCTAGTAATATCTAGCTTTAAAGTATTATATAGTCTTTCTTTTAAAATGCCTTGGAAGGCTACAACAAGCTTTGCTGTCTTCCCATTCCATTGTTATGTGCCATTGAGTTGGAACCAACCCACCAGTGGGTTTTCAAAGGCTATAAATCACATACCAGGAGACTGCACATCTTTCCTTTGCACAATGGCTGGTGGATTCAAACAGCTTGCTTTGTGTTGGCAGTGCAACCCCTTACCACTAGATCATACTGCCTACTTTCCAGGGTAGTTAGATGGATTGAATGGGTAATATCTGTGAAACAATCTGGCATTATTACAGTGATTGACATCATCATATTAGACATGTGTTGTTGTACAGTGCTGTCAAGTACAACTCAGCAACACTGTCAACAACAGGTCTGTACCCTGTCCTATCCTCATCATCCTGACCATCCTGACCCTCTCTTGACAAACTTGAGCCCACTGCTGCAGTCACTGTTTTAAGAGTCTCCTTGAGTCTTCCTCTCTTTTGCTGACTCTGCAACTTTCTAAGATATTATTGTACACAGAAGTATACATATTATATATTTCTTTTTAAAATTCCTGCACACTGTAATACGAGGAAAGTCAAAGGATGATCAAGCTATAACGTATACTCTGATCCTGAGCACGTTAATGATCCATTGAACTCATACTGGTACAAGATTTTGGAAACTTCTGATAACTGTTGTATTAATTATTTAGGCTCATTTTGTGAGCATGGTGTTGGGGGATTTCAGGAGGCATAGCCCATAAAGAGCTGCACTACTAACTCCAAAGCCACACTTACCTGTGGTTTGCATCTACCTGCTGCTCTGCAGGAGAAAGATGGACAGTCTTCTTCTATGCTATTTATAGCCTTGGAAACTCCCTGTGGGGTCACCTGTGAGTTGGAACCAAGTCAGTAGCAATACTGAAATGGCTGTCTTGTGGTGTTGATCTTAACTTTAGGTCTGGAGCCTGAGCAGCATGTGTCTCTGTCTGTGTGTGTGTGTGTATCAGTGGAATACCAATTGACACGTTTCAACTAAAAGTGCATCCAGAGTGCTCTTTAAAGGCAAGGATGGTAAAGCTCTGCCTCTCACACTTTGGACATGTTGCTAGGAGGTGGTATTCCTTGGAAAGGGACACCATGCTTGGAAAGGTCAGTTCAGGAGGAAGACCCTCAACCAGATGGAGCGACATAGTGACTGCAGCAGCTGGCTCAAGTCTCTGAGAGATGATGAGGATGGCACAGGACAGGGCAGGGCTCCCAGCTGTTGTTCATAGGGCTGCTGTGAGTTGAACTTGACAGCCCCTAACAGGAACAACAATAGCAATAAGAGGAGAAGTGTGAACAATAAAGTTTGCCTCCCATATAATTTTTTAAGTACATTAAATCCTAAATCACATATAATGTGAAGGGGTGTGTGTGTTTTAACTTACAAATTCTTTCTTTATATTGTGCTGCTTTTGTGATTACACATAACACCTAGTACAATATTCAAGAAATCGTAATTTAGTTGACTCTGGGTTGGCGTAATGACCGTTAACAATGGGCTGTGAAGTATATCAGAGATGACAAGGGCAGCGTAGGATAGGACAAGATTCACAGGGTCACTATGAATCCCATATCAAGTCC